GCCCACTACTCCCTCATTGCCCAATAGGCGCCGACGCGGCTACGACCGTGGCCGGAGGAGGAGCTGTTGGGGCGGCCGGACGCTGAACGGCCGTTCACGTCGACGCGGTGACGTCACGCGTCGACGCACCTGTCGGGCGCTCCGGATGCCTGCTGCTTTTCTTCCCCTTCCGTGGGTCGGGGACTGTCTGGTCCGCAGCCTGCACCTCCTTTTCCTTAGTCAACATTCGTCCGGGACCGCGTGTGGAGGAAGGAGGGTGTGGTGGATTGAAAGCCATTCTACTTCGTCCCCGAGTTAGACCATTGGGTGTAGTGGTAGTCTCTTAAGAGGGAAGCGATGCTGGAGATTTTTATTTCTAATTGTGGGTAGAGAAACAGGTTGACTCTAGGGCCCAAAGCAAGCGGGTTTAACTTATTGCTGTTCCCGTGTTGGAAGGAGGACCCAGATAAAAGTCTCCCCTGGCAGAACTTCCGTAGCCTCGTCCGTAGAAAAGGCCAGGTGTCTTCAATTTTGGTCGTTTGGGTTGTGTTAAGATTCACCAGGCGGAGCTCCCGGGGTTTAGCTAGGGTTTCGGTTGGAAACAGATGCAGAATCCTAAGGCAGCGCAGGAAACGGCCACCGGTTTTGCTATGCCTCTGAGCTGCAAGGTGAGTTGCATTCTGTGAGTGAACATTTGTGAGCTGCCCTGTTCACGGGTTTTGGGTCAACTTGGACACCAGGGCTGTCATCTTGGTTTATCGTATAATAGATTTACCTGCATAATGTTAAATCCACCCTTAATTAGATGTGTACCCTCGAACAGTCTGTAAGATTTCACCTGTTTTGTCCAGGAAACGTCGAAGGATTTTTGAATAGAATGGAAGTAGTTTCCAGGAAAAGATGAAATTGGAAGTCAGAGAGTGGGATTTACTTTCGCTAAATTTGCCCACATTTAAAGTAAATATCGGCTTATTTTTCTTTTTAGTTTAGGTTTATGTGTATATCAAGACGCAGTTTGTGTGTATATATAAAACGTTGGCGTTTTGATCTTAAACTTGGACCAGAAGCTTCTTGAGACTCAAATTAATTTTGCATATGCTTTATTTGTATAGCATTTTAAAACTGGAGCACATAGAAGGTAATATACATACACACTATGCGTATTTGTTAGAATTGAATCAACAGTGACCATACCATTTCTTTTTGTGGTGTGTGTGTGAATTCAAAAGTTCAATTTTGTGAACTATAAACTTTCTATGCAATCAATTCAGTTACTGCACCATCATTGTGGCTTGTGTCATTGATTGTTGAATCTTCCCAGAAAGGCTTTTCTTTTCATCTCCAAAAGTTAATGTAGCAGGTTTGTTTCTTGATGAGGTCTTTATGGGAGTAATTTAACTGATGTCAGTTTTATGTGCCTTTGTGAGTAACTAGAAAATACCGTGTAGCTCAAGAGTACATAAAGGAGTTAAAATGCTAATGTATATATTGTTGATTTTCATCGTAAAAGCTGCTGATTGCATAGAATGGCTAGAAAAACGGGTATGATCTACAGAGAATTTCTCAGATTGAGTATGCTGTTATAACTTCTGGTTAATAGAAACAGCCATGGTTGGCAGAATATATGACAAATTTCATTCCACTCCCACATTCTACCTCCCACACTCTTCAAAGACTTTTTTTTTATGGCATAGCTTACATACAATATCATATTTTTTTTTCAGTGATTCTACATTTGTATTCCTTATGTGATCCCCACATGTCTATGTCTAATAACTCAAAAGACTTTGATTCTTTGTTTGAAAAAAGGGTCAAATGATTTTAAGAAGATGAATGTTTAGTACGTAGATCGTTACTTGGAAATTGTTGTAGCATGTGTTTTCAATCATATTACTCATTAAGAATGTAAATATTTGACCAGGTTTTGCATACATATAGTTCAGAGGAAACAGAGTCGCTGAGGTTATGATCTTGTTAGTAAATTGGCTATTTTCCAGGTCATGTTGGTGGTAGGCTTTCCATTTCCTGTTGTGACATGTTGGTAATAATTTTCAGACCGCTCAGGAAGTGATCTCTGTGGTGGCTACGATATCAAAGCAGTATTCTGTGGGTTTTGGCCACTATGATTACTTTGAAGAACTTTCAGCTAAGTTTCTAGTCAAACTTACCAGCAGTGATCTAAAACATAATATGACATAATAAGTGTTAATATTTATTGAGTGAATTCTGTGATTCAGGATCTTTCCTAAGTAGTTTTTGTAGATTGTCTCAATTCTCACACCAACTCCATGAAGTAGGTACTTTCCAGTGTTCCCATTATACAGATGTGGAAACTGAGGCATATAGAATTTAATTAATTTTCCCAAGGCCTCAATAAGGGTCAGAACTGAGACTGAAGCCTGGCATGATTTCAGAGCTCTTGCTCGAAATGCAGGTAGGACTAATTAAAATCCTAGAAGAAGAAAAAGGATAAGAGGAATGGCTTGATAGGTCCATTGCTTTTTCCAATTATAAAAGTGATGTAAAATTATAGAAACTCTGGAAAATCTTTTTTTTTCTTTGAAACTCTCATTCTACTATAATAAACCCTGTTTTGGCATTTTTTTTTATATGAACATTCACATGTGTATATGAACATTGCAGCAGTGATTCATTTTGATTCTTAAAGATAAATGTTCCTGCCCTGGCTGGTTTGGCTTGGTGGATAGAGCGTTGTCATGCGGACTGAAGGGTCCCAGGTTTGATTTCAGTCAAGGACATGTACCTTGGTTGTGGGCACATCCCCAGTAGGGGGTGTGTAGGAGGCAGCTGATTGATGTTTCTCATTGATGTTTCTAACTCTATCCCTCTCCCTTCCTCTCTGTAAAAAATCAATAAAATATATTTCTTAAAAAAAGATAAATGTTCCTTAGTTAAGTACAAAATGGAGGATGAACCCATGTGGGGAAACAGCCTATTTGCATTGCTGAAATATGGGGAGATTTAATCTGCAACTTTGACTTGAACAAAGTTAAATAAATATGTTTCTTGACCTTAGGGGAAGTAGTTGATAGTTTGTCTTGTAAAATCATGAAAATTATTTGGTTTTCAAAGTGTAAGCCTTCCATAGCATCTTTTTGTTGGATTTTTGTTTACCTTTATTTGTTGTTATAGTCTGAGCCTTATATTTGTGTGTGTTTTTCCTTTTAAAATAATCTAGCATTTAACTTTTGAATGACTAAAATTTTTATGAATCTAGGACATTTTCTTCAGAGCTGACAGGTGACTTCTCTTAGCAGTTATCCATGCATACTTTTTTGAAGAAAAATGTATATGGCATAGCAATTCAGGCATCTGGCTAACAGAATTAACAGGATAAAATATCAAAGTAGTATTACTTTTGAGAGTAGTCAGTTTCTTGTCAGATGTCATATGGGTTGACAATTTGCATCAGAATAAACTCTTGCTACTGTGATGTTCCAATCTTAGTTTCATGATGTTATATGGGATTGAGGGGTCATTCCTGGGTAAAATAAACTTGAGACACTTTGCATAAATTTTGATTATAAAGTTAATTTTTACTAGTTTTTTTTTTCAAGAACCTTACTTATGCTGTTAGCCGTTATAATTCTAGATGGGGATATGCTTTATCACCCATGCTTATTTGACCATGAAACCTTTTACTGGACTTGTGTTCTCTGCACATACTCATCTGCAGATATATTGTTGTCTTCTTGGCTCCATAGCTTAACTCATGCCAATAATTTTGATTCAGTTAACCTCTTCTCCCATCTCTGCCCCATAAAATCCTACTTACCTTTTAAGGTCCAACTCACATGTGTCTCTTCCAAAGAAAGCTTCTCATCCTCAGATACAGTGGAATGTGGTCTTTTCTCTGACCTCTTATAACAGTTCTGTCTTCTGTGACATCTGTCATGTATTGCCTTTTATTATGTGGATATATAGTAATTTATGGAAAATATTACATCCCTTTTGAGGACAGTATATAAAGTAATTTATACTGAAGATTACTGAAAGCCGCAAACCCTATACAAATATGCCACTAATCAATAAAAATTGTTTATATTTTGTGCAATTTCTGGTATATTAGTAGCTGTTCTATAAACAGAGAATGAATAAATTATGGTGTAAATTTATTGTCATATTTTTATATTTGACCTGTACTTAGCACATACATTTCTTGAAATACTTACATGAAACTGCTTCTTACATATAGTCAGTTTCACTTCCCTGCCATCATTGCTCTTGAGACTTTTATCCATCTTTTTAGTTGCAGACATTTGGAATTGTCATTTTGGGGTGGATGGGTGGTTGGATTTTAATTTCTTTCACTCAGATTGTGCATACTTTTCTGTCAGTTTACTAGCCAGCCAGATACCTTTGACATTTAGTCATGGTCCTCAGTTCTGACTGGTCTTCTTTATGAGTGAGACAAAATTTTGTTGGAAGCTATGAAAAATTAGTGTACCACGTCAGGCTGTTAGCCACTGAGCCACCCATTTCCAAGGTCTTTCTATTTCTGTGCTCTACCCCCAACCCCCATTCTGGTGGTGTACTGCTTTGTGTTTGCAGTTTGGGAACTTAGATTACATTCCCTTCATTGTAGTATAACCTTGAATAGGTTGTATAATTCTACAGTTGAAAAGAACATTCTGATCTTGAGGCCTGCAAGCTGTAGGAGAAAAACATTTGTTTCTTTCAGCAATTTTGAATTAATTAGTCAGGTCAGAAAGTTAGCAGATACCTTAGATTTCTTCTTCACCGTTCCCACATTTTAGTTAACACATCCTCTTAAATATTTCTCAAAATGCGTTCTACTCCTCCATATTGGTCTTATTTCAGTACTAGAGGCCCGGTGCACGACATTGGTCGTGCCTGCACCCTCTCACAGCTCGGGACCCCTCGGGGTCCTTAGCGTTGTCGCAGAGGCGAGAGAGGCTCCTGCCACCACCGCCTGGTGAGGCTCCAGTCACAAGGGCATGTTCAGTTCCAGTCAAGGGCATGTACCTCAGTAATTGTACAGAATACAGGCTACCTTTATCCCAAGAAGATAAAAGGCAGGTATATTATTCAGAAATTATTAATAATAATGAGACAACTCACTATCTTATGTTTAGAACTAGAGGCCCGGTGCACGAAATTCATGCACTGGTAGGGTCCCTAGGTCTGGCTGGCAATCAGGGCCGATTGGGGCCTTCCTTCCCCCAGCTGCTGCTGCTGGCCGGGGCCTTCCTTCCCCTGGCTGCTGACTGCCAGCCGGGGCCTTCCTTCATTTTGCGCCACCCCCTAGTGGTCAGTGCATATCATAGTGAGCCGTAGAACTCCCGGTCGGTTGAACTCCTGGGGGGACAATTTGCATATTAGCCTTTTATTATGTAGGAGGATTGTTCAATGGTGTACTAGAATAAGGGTTACCTAACTTTTCTCCTTATCTTTAGTCCTTCAGTCTCTTGCACTTCTAATCTGTCTTCCACACTGCTGCTAGAATTGGTCTGCTAAAATTTATATCTGATCATGTGGTTTCTTTTTTAAAACTCTTAGTGGTTTCCCATGTGTATAATGAGTAAATAAGTTCCTTAGCATGACATGAGCCCGTTCTTTTTTGTTTGTTTGTTAATCCTCATCCAAGGATATGTTTTCCATTGATTTTTAGAGAGGTTAAAGGGAG